ATATATAGAGAGGAGGAGACACCGAGAGGACAATAGACACCGAGAGGACAATCTTCCATCCAATGATTCATTCCCCAAGTAGTCACATTGGCCGGAGCTGAGCCAATTTGAAGCCAGGATCCCAGAGTCTCTTCCAGGTCTCCCACATAGGTGCAAGGTCCCAAGGCTTTAGGCCCTTCTGGACTGCTCCCCCAGGCCACAAGCAGGGAGTTGGATGGCAAGCAGGGCTGCCAGGATTAGAACTGGTGCCCATATGGGATCCAGGCATGTTCAAGACAAGTACTTTAGCTGCTAGGCTATTTTGCCAGATCCTGTTTTTTTGTTTTGTTTTGTTGTGTTTTTTAAAATTCTTGTATTATTTTGAAAAATATTTTGTTTATTTAATTTTTTTTCAAAGTCAGATTTACAGAGAGGAGGAGAGACAGAAGGATCTCCTATCTGCTGGTTTACTCCCCAAGTGACTGCAGTGGCCGGAGCTGAGCCAATCTGAAGGCAGGAACCAGCAACTTCTTCTGGGCCTCCTGTGCGGGTGCAGGGTCCCAAGGCTTTGGGCTGTTTTACCAGGCCGCAAGCAGGGAGCTAGAAGAGAAGTGGAGCAACTGGGAAAGGAACTGGCACCCATGTGGGATCGTAGCACATGTATATGGAGGATGTTAACCACTTGGCTGTTGCACCAAGGCCCAAACATTTGAAGAAGAGCAAATCTCGTGTCTTTACGGACAAAGGAGAGGTTGTGATTAGAAATGTTCCTGTGATCATGGGTTTCATGTCACTTCTGAGACTCGGCTCTTGGGCTGTTTGTTGGTGGTACACAAAGGGTTGTGATTTGAATGAAGTGATGAGACTGCAGTGAGGAGAGAGGAAGGAAGGGGAGCTTGTTCAATGAAAGTAGAAGAAAAGAGAAAAGTCATATCTAGTGATTTTGGACAGATATTGTTAGCGTTCCTCTAATGAGGGCTTTTTGCTGCCATCCCAGCTCAGTGGTTCTGCAGAGAGACACATTGCTCCAGCAGCTGGAGTGTATCAAATTTATAACTCACATTTCTATGACATTTTCACTTACTGCTGTTGTGTGACCAGGAGTACTACATAAATAACAGCACTCATTCTCTGTTGTTCATTATGTCTTGCTCTCTTGGTTGTTAAAAAGAAAAAAAAAAAATCCAGGACAAACCTGTGAGAGAAAAATTAAAAATTACTTGGACAAAAATACATTTATGTTAGGGATATTGTAGATGTAAACAAACAAAAAAATGAAAATGAAAAAAAAATCCATAGTTTGTCAATCCGTTGATGCCATCTATTTTTGTTTTTAATCAAGCATTTAAAATCTTTTATAATTTCCTGTTGGAATCAGATCAGAATTTTGTCCAGCTTGGGATTAATTGAAATACATGCCATTTGAAGGAAATATTTTTTTTAAAAAGATTTATTTATTTATTGGAAAGTCAGATATACAGAGAGGAGAAGAGAAAGAGAGAAAGATATTCCATCTGATGATTCATTCCCCAAGTGAGTACAACGGCCAATGCTATGCCCACCCGAAGCCAGGATCCAGGAACTTCTTCTGGGTATCCCACACGGGTGCAGGATCCCAAGGCTTTGGGCCATCTTCAACTGCTTTCCCAGGCCACAGGCAGGGAGCTGGATGGGAAGTGGAGCAGCTGGGATTAGAACCGGTGCTCATATGGGATTTGGGCACGTTCAAGGCGAGGACTTTAGCCGCTAGGCCATGCTGCCGGGCCCGGAAATATTTTTATACTGTTATTCTGCCTTCCTATTCTTAACTCTTTAGAGCTTTCTTTGCTCTGTGATAAGGATGTTATTTTTAGTGTTTAGGAAGTCATTGACATATAGAACAAAGGGTTTTTTAATGGAAAAAAGTCCTGCCTTTTCACTAGCATGCTCTGCTTTTGAAGGAAGAAGGGACGATCTTTACAAATATTAACATACTTCATAACACATGTTTTGGGACAATAGTTAACATACCATTTTTTTGCATTTTCTGGAATCAAAGTACAATCATCCAAAATATGAAATGTGGATGCCTTGCTTCTGGCCCTGTGATCTCAAAGAGTTTGCAAAGAGCAGAATTTTGATTGAGGGAAATAACTAAGTACAGAGGGTTAGCTTTTAATTCTGACAAAATACATAAAATATTCTACTTCATACATTTCTACAGTTAATTTTAACACATTTCTCTTTTCTGATGACCTCTTTGTTTCTTTTTTTCTCTTTTTTCCTATACTTTCCAGAATCTCAGTTTTCAAAATGACATAATAAATATTTGATTTTGAGGGTTTTTGATGAAAGGAAATGATTATGGGGATTGAAAATGGATTGTCAAAGTTTTAGGCTAATTTACCTAAATGTCAGCTACAGAATAAATAGCAAATATGATTGTAATACCACCTTACTTTAAATATGCTAAAAATGTGAGAAATGCAAATAAGGAATGTCCTTAATCTCAAACGAGTGTCTGCTTGATGAATTAGGAGAAATTGAGATTATGTTAAAATTGTACATCTCTCACTGATGGTAACATCTGTAGGGACCCTTAGAACTCAAGAGGGAAATAACGAAGAAAGTTCTAGAGGGCATGGCTTAAAAACTGAGCCCGGAGGTAGTCCTGCACTTTCAATAGAGAAACTTCAGATTGCTTTATAAGCAAGAGCAAGGGCATGGTCAAAGGCTCAGCAGCAGCATGATAGGTATTTTTAGAGAGTCATGATTCATTTGTAGATCATAAATGTTTCCTTCATGGCCTTCAGGGTAACTTTTCCCCATGAGCTGGAACTGGAGAAAAATCCATCCTTGCTATTGCTTCTGGTGAATATATCTCTTGCAAAGGTTTGCGTTTAATCCTGAGTAGCCCCTGCCAGGGAGTCATAAAGTTCGATGTATTTCATGACCACTTTCTTTTTCTCCTCTTTGCTTTTAAGAGTAGACATCTCTCACAACCAGATGTTGGCTTCTTCTTCTTCTTTTTTTTTTTTTTTTGTAAGCCATTGAATGTATATCTAATAGGCCAAATGCTTAATTTTAGTCATGACATGCCTTAAAGGAAAAAAAGTCAATGACAATATCAGGATGGAAACATAACGTACAAAACTTGTACTGTAACTGAGTCGATATTAAGCAGAGATGCTCAGGGATGTGATTACACCACTTCCAGGGATGATGTGCCGAGCAGTGTTCTAAATCATCCAGACCTCCTCTCTTTCCTTGGTACCCATCAGCGAGATGAACTGGTGCCTGGGATTATAGAAACAGTGGAAGGTTTGATTAGTTTTTACCTTTATAAACCTAGCTGGACAAAATTAAAGTGTATTTTATCTACAATCTGATCTAAATCTAAACCTGATAGCATCAAATTACTAGAGGAAAACATCAGGGACCCTCTGTAAGACATTGGCATAGGCAAAGACTTCTTGGAAAACACGCCAGAAGCACAGGTGATCAAAGCAAAAATAAACAAATGGAATTACATCGAGCTATTAAACTTATGCACAGCCAAAGAAATAGTCAACAAAGTGAAGAGGCAGCCAACATAAAGGGAGAGAATATTTGTAAACTACATAGTTGATAGAGGATCGATATGTAGTATCTATAAAAAGCTCAAGAAACTGAGCAACAACAAATCAAACAGTCCAGTTAAATGGGAAGCAGACATGAACATACATTTTCTTTTTTAACATTTTATTATTATTATTATTATTATTTTTATGATACAGTTCCATAGGCTCTTGGCATTTCCCTTATCTCCTCCCCAATTCCCTTCCCCCCACCTAGTTCCTCTATATCACTACTAAAATATAGTTCTTCATACTCAGTCATATGTCCATCGTTGCGGGCATGGACAATGGCAGAGAGTCCAGCATCCTATTGTCAATATATAGTGAACAGTTTCATTGTAAGTCCATCTTTGTCTGGAAGTAGAAATGCATACTACATTGTATCCTCACATCTGGATGTTAGTCTCTGTTTCACAGCTACTATACATCCCCTTAAATGAAAAGTATTAATACAAATTCAACCATACAAAGAAAAACAGAAATTTACAATGCCATGGAGTAAAATGACATGTTACTAAATATGACAGCTATTTAACTTCATGGTGTTGTTAATTTCTTTTTTCTCCCTGATGTTGATTTTGTTTTCTGGCTTTTCATTTAAGGGGATGTATAGTAGCTGTGTAATGGAGACTGTCATGAGCATATGGTTTCAATGAATGAAGTTCAAATGGTCAACAGACATGAAAAAAAAATACTCAGGTCCACTAGCCATCAGGGAAGTACAAATGAAAACCACCATGAGGTTTGGTCTTACCCCAGTTAGAATGGTTATCATACAGAAATCAGAAAATAGTAGATGCTAGTAAAGATTTAAGGGAAAAGATACCCTCATCCCCTGTTGGTGGGAATGTAGGCTAGCACAGCAATTGTGGATGGCAGCATGGAGATTGCTCAGGAATCTGAAAATAGATGTACCACATGACCCAGCCATCTGATGGACTCTGCGGTTTAATTACCTTGAAATTATTGTTCCATAAAATCAACAATCTTCTCTTTAAGACATACATACCAGAAACAGGATGGATGAAATAATTCAGTTCAGGTAATAATGAATATTTCATATCTGATTGTTGATTTGCATTTTATAGTGTCTTAGAGTCAGAGTTCTTCTCTGAGTTAGTAGAAATTGTTCCATATTAGAGTTAATTCATCTGGAACTCATTCTTTTCTTGTTTATGTTACCTTGTACAAATTATACAGATAGCTCTGATTCTTGGTTTCCTACTCTAAAATGAAAAAATCATAATAAAACCTCTCTCCTGGGATAACCGTAAGAATGAAGTTAAAATATATACTTAAAATATATTATGTAAATAAGCATATCTGTTTATATATACATGATATAGCAGTTAGCAAACAGCAGCTGTTACTAATTATTTTTTTGACAACATCTTCTTATAAGTCATTTTCCCTGTGTTTCCACAGCATGAGAAGCTGATCCATGAACTGGAAGAGGAGAGGCACTTGCGTCTTCAAAGTGAGAAGCGGTTGCGGGAGGTGACCCTTGAGTCTGAGTGCAACAGAATTCAGATGCAAGGTCTTCAGCAGCAGTTCTCTAGGTGAGGCTTCTTACTGAGCGTCTTCCTTCTGGGGGTGCACCCCTCCAAGCGCCCATCACAACTAGGGTTAAGTTTTCGTCTCATAAGCCTTGGTTGTGTGCGCACTAATTTCCCAGGTTAGACTTTTTCTTCCTGAGAAGCCACTCTGTTCCACCTGGACAAGTTTTCTGAAACTCTCCATTTATACTTGACACAGCCTAGGCTGTATTGAAGCTTTTCCTCCCCACCACCCACAAGGATTGATCTCAGGGAGTTGTGGTAACTGTGTGTGGCTCTATATAAGGCCAGCCTGTGGGCTGCAATTTCACTGGGCATCACAGCCCAATTTTAATACAGTGCTAATGAAATCATGCAGTAAACCTTGCTCATTCCATAAAGGAAATATGTACAAGTAGTCTTTAAAAAATAGAGAATTCCTTTCTTTAAAAAGAGCTAGAATTTGAAAGGAAGATTTATTAAGAAGGAGCTCTTAAATTTAATTGTAGCATGGTCATAGTCTTTGGGTGGCCATTCAGTCTATTATGTTACAGTCTGTTCAGTTCACTTGGAGGAGAAGAAAAACAAGACACAAATCTGCATTTGAAGTCTTAGGGGAACATTTATATACCTGCTGAGAGAAGAGCGAGTCTATTTTCATTTTGGTGCTTTTCTGTTCACAAAGTGAAGGAATACTTGAGATTGTAGGTTATCTTACAATAGATGCAGGGCATGTGGTAAGTACTCAGCAAATACTTGTAAAGCCGGTGAGCATACTGGTGTCATTTCTTGCAATTCTGAGGTCCTATGGCAGGATCAAAATTATTTTCTCTTGGCAGTGGAAGTTGCTTTAAAATCCTCATGAACAAGCTATCAGTCTGCTTTTACTCTCCTCCACTGCAAGGTTTGGAAAAGTAGATGACGGATAGATAGATGAAGCTTTTGTATTATGAAATTTTTATTAGCCTAACTTTTTTTTTCTTTTCTTTTTTTTTGGTTATAAGATATGCTGCAGAGAGGAAATGAAGCTAATCCCACTTGTTTCCCTAACCATGGCTAGTTCCGTAACAATTTGCAGCTTTAGTTTAAGACTTCTTAGAGAAACAACTCAGGCGAGAATGAATGGCTCTTTTTGTTCAGTGTTCACCACCTCAAACCCATGGTAATACACAGGTGGAGTAGAAATCACCACTCAATGCCTGAACAAACCACCCCTCATTCCACCCCTCATAGGCTAGCGCTTACATCAACTGATCTCAATTTTTCCATTTACTTTGATGTTAACTCTTACTTTATATCTCCCAATTTGAAACCAAAAAGCCCTACCCACTAAATTAGCTTTCAGGAAAGTACTGTTTTGCAAAGTTTTGGTACTGATGCTCTAGGCGAGGGGGAGGCAGATCTTGCTATGTCTGTACTATTTAATTGATATGTCTCCATACACAAACTGTTGATTTACATTGTGTGAGACCCACATGACACAGTACATTATTTTCTTTGTATTCTGGAAAGTCTGTTGTAAATCCCATATGACAATCCTTTCATCACACAAGGATTAAGACATTAACCTAAGCTGAAAGAGAAGATAATTAAGTATACAATAAGTAATGGTTTTACCTCCTACTTTTGTGATAGTATTTTTTTTTAGGACAACTAATTTTCTTAAGTAAAGCTTTGTTTAAATTGAAAATTTAAATCCAGTTGAAATTAGACAAATAAGTAAATCAGTAACGTGGAGACAGCTTATATGATAGAAAAGGCAAGCTAAGGCAATAGTTAATGTAATCACAGAATGATTTGAAGAGACTAATTGAACCAGTTTTGATGGCTTTAAACTTAAAGTTTTAAGATACTTCTGGTTAGGCTTACTTAAAGAATATTAATTTAAGTTTGTAAAATTTTCAATATTATAGAATATGCATGTAATATACCACCTTTACAGTTGATCAGCAGCCAAAAGGGTAATATAAAATTATAGTTCAAATTATTCTACTGATTTAAGCATTTTTATGTTTATCTGTTTCATATATACATATATATTATATATATGTATATAATATATATATATATATATAAATGCGTGGAATTAACTTTCAGCATTGTTCATGGACTGAAGTTTACCTGGTAAAACTAAGCTAATAGCCTTTCTGAAAGCACGTGGTATGGCTTACAATAAATTACAGATATACAATTAGAATGATAAAATAAAAACAAGAAAATAAATTTATAAAAGAATGTCATTATAACTGCTCATAGTCATATAGCCCCAAAGATTTTCTGAAAATGAGCATGTAATTTAACTAGGAGTTTCCTAGCAGGGATGATAAAATGGTAGACATAAAAAAATGTGTTATTCTTAAAGTCAAAGACTACAACCCTTTTAAGTGAGGAACATTAATTATCTCTGGCTACATATTCATAATTGAATGTATTTCATGCATTCCTTCCCAGAAGATACTGGAGGGTACAGAAGGCAGTAGTTTAAGATGGCACAAATTGGATTAATTCTTACAAGTACTGCTACTTTTATGGCACGTCTGTGTTAAAAAATGTCATAGTTCTTAAATTTTATACTGTATGGAATAGGAATGCTGGCCCCATGTCTAAGGAATCATAAGTACAGAGCTAGTCTGTTGCTAGATAGACTCAGGTGAGGTTCTGAGGCTGCCAGTTCATGGGTGTGTCTTTGCAGTGCTGCTTTCACAGACTTGAGGCACAGAGGCAGCAGATACTGCGGATGGTGTTTGCTTGGCCTGTTGGATGGTCCTGTGGGCCCTGGAGCTTCTCAGTGACCTGGAGGACTCTTGAGATGCCTCATGAGGAAATAGTGGAGAATAAACAGTGCAAGGCAGATGCTGGGACAATTACAGGTGCATATGGGTTGTGGCACTCAGGCACCAGAATGCATGATTTTGGAGAGGTCATCTGGAGTTTGGTTTTAAATGATGTCAGCTCTGTGATAGCTCTTGTGGCTTGAAGGCACCACACAGTTTGGATATTTTTGATTATATGTGTAAATGAATAATGGGATCACATAAGTGATAAAATTATATAGAAATGGTTGATTGAATAATTCTCTCTTGTGTCCCCACCAAATTATGAGCTGCAGTTCTCCCCTCCCTCTTGGCCTCCGATGGGGAATTAATGATCTACAATTTTAGTCACTATCACAAGTACAGTATGAATATGTGGTCAGAGGTTAGTTACATAATCAGCTGTATAAGTTCCTGAATCAGAACTGTATTACACTGAGAGTGATTTAAGCAGGCATGATAAACTTAGTTCATGCAGTTGACCTCCCATAATGGAAATGCAGACAAGAAAAATTATATGTACTTGAACATGAAGCTTTCCCCACAGTTGCAAGAGCCCTTCAGTAAGGTGGTACTTAGAAGCAGGTTGCAGGATCATTTGGTCTGCTGCCTCTTATTGTATTATTGGTAGGTGGTGTATATCGAAGATGATATCCGGATGTGGTAATGACTGTTCAATCCACTATCTGTGTGGTATGCATAGCTGAGTATATTTTGTGAAGGCTTAAGTTTATAACCACCTGACATTCCGTAAGTACTCCTACTTTCCCACTCCTCTGTTTCTTTGAAATGTGGTTATTGAGCTGGTCAAGATCAGTGCATTGAGGCTGTGACACTGCCTTCTCTACTGTGTGCATATGCAAAGATAGGAAGGGTTTATAGTCTCATGGTTGTTATTTCAAACTGAGTTTGTGAAATGTTGGAGGTCTGATTCTCCTGGAGAGGCACTTTCAGGAACTTTGTCTTGAAACTACAGCCCAGGTATATTGGGTTAGAATAGCAGTGACTTAAACAAGCAAAGGCTCGTGGAGCGAAAAACATATCTACTAAGTATTGGTTTCATACAAGCTATTTGTGACATGCACATCAAATCTCTTTAGAGATAATCAGATCATTTTGTAGATGAGTATTGCACACTTCTGTTCTCATTGGGCAACAGCCACTTTCACAGAACTCTACGTATATGAACAAAAAAGATACTAGTATTTCTAGTATGGCTGTAAATGGAGAGGAATTTTGTTCACATTCAGGACCAGATATGCGTTAATAGATTCTGAGGTGGCATGAATCACTAGTTAACATGAGTGATTGCAGAGTGATATTATTACAAGGTGGTGCCATGGGATAGAGCTATGCTTCTGTATATTTGAAATTTTAATTTAGCATCAGTCTCCCATAATTACCACCTTGCAGACATTTTAGAAAATGTCTCCAGTTAGCAAACCATTTTGCACCCTAAATATCAGGCATCACATTATGTTTCTTTACAGCCTTGAAATGTTCTGTGAATGTGTCACACCAAGGCGTTGGATGTTTATATTAGGAGAGGTTTCAGGTTTGTTACTCATGATGGACCAGGATTTTAAAAAGTCAAGCAAATGGAGCCCACTCTTTCACATGGCAACCCCAAAATTTCTTTGCAACTTTTTAAAAGATTTACTTTATTTTTATTTTAAAATCAGATATACAGAGAAGAGGAGAGACAGAGAGAAAGATCCTCCATCTGTTGATTCACACCCCAAGTGCCCACAATGGCCAGAGCTGCGCCAAACCAAAGCAGGAGCCAGGCACCTCTTCCGGATCTCGCACACAGGTGCAGAGTTCCAAGCCTTTGGATTGCCTTCCCAGGCTACAAGCAGGGTGCTGGATAGGAAGCAGGGCTACCAGGATTAGAACCAACACCCGTATGGGATCCTTGCGTGTGCAAGGCAAGGACTTTAGTTGCTAGGCTACTGTGCTGGGCCCCATTTGCAACTTTTTCTGACCTCCTCCCCTGGCACTGTTAGCACTGCCTTGTAGCTATTTCTTTGCTTACTCTAATGGGGATTTTCCTCTCACAGTTGATGGCTACGCTTAAGTACTGTCCGGTGTGTGCTAAACTTCAAGGGCCGTAAATGGAGATCGTTTTACTGCTTAACTCATTCCCCGGTTGCTGCTCACATTGTGGCTCTAAGACACTTGATGGAATCCCAGGGTTTGTTGGAAACCGTA